GGCCAGCCGTCTGCCAGGGCAGCGCCGCCGGGGTGCCCGCGGGGGGTGGAGGAGGAAGAAGGCGACAGTTGAGGGCAGAGGAGGTGAAGGTGCCTGCCTTCCCGGTCGCCTCCGTGTCTGCCATGCCCGCCTCGCGAGGGGAAGCGCTGCTCCGTCTGACCTACTCTCCTCTCCACTCTGTGCAATAAAGTTCGAAACCCAAGGTTTCCTCTCGTGCTGTATTTTATTCACGCCCTTTCCCCCCGCTCCCACCCCAATGGGAAAATGCTGTTTTCTGTGCTTTTCTGCTTAGATGGGAAGATGAGAAGTCGCGCTTTTTAAGATAATTTTTGATTCTTTCTCTCATCCTCTTTTTTTTTTTAAAAGTTAGTAGTCATGGAAATGCATTCTTTTGGGGAAGAAGGGGGTACTAAGAAAAACGTATTTGTAATAACTTTAAAAAAACTGTTGGGATCTTGTAAAAGGGAAGCTGATGTTTGAAAATAGTTTCGGTTTTAACCCTTTTCAATAAGGTAATTATCACTTGAGATCTATCATTCTGAAACACTGTTGAAACGAATATTAGCCGATGTACTTTTGTTTTACATCACCTTTTTTTTTTCTTTTGGCCAGCCGTGCCTTTGGCGTTTGGATCCTCCGGATCTCACCTCTCACCCCCTACCATGTTTCTCACATCTTTGTGTCTAATCGTAAATAAGAGATTCGTTAATACTAATTCTAAAAATAGATGTTTAAAAGTGTCCATTATTTGTCTGGCATGTAGTAGGTAACCCCAGCCACAGACCGACAATAATTTAAGCCACAAGGTTAATTTTTTTCTTTGTTGGGAAAAAGGGACAGTAGAAAAATCATTGGCACATCAAAGATTAAACGACAATTTTGAAGGACCTGGGATATGACCTATTTAAGTTTGTCTTACCTTCAGAAGTTAGAATATCATGCTAGTCTTAACTTGTATCAGTTCTGTCTTACAAAGATTTAGTATCGAAGATACTTTTGGTTGCCAGCTATTGAAATATTCTACATTCACTGCTCATTTCCTGATTTGAAAGTAAAGCCAAACAGTTATTTTAGGTGGTGCAAAATATCAACAGGTTATTTGTTTTTAAAATACCTGTCACAGAATGATACAATTGTGATTGATACAAGGTTTCTTGTTAGGAATAAATATTGGTATTAGAAGCACTGTTTTCTGATTTTCTGTATCCAAGTCACTTTTCCAAAACCTACTTTGCTGTATTGCAAGTCTTAAAAACCACGTTAGCAATTTGTCATTGATAAGAAACTTAAATTAATAAGATGTAATAAAGATGATTTTTCCATAAGGATTGGGAAGATGGTTTTATTTCCAAGTACTGAGGAAATTATAGTATTGATGATGATGTAGATCACTGATTTTCCCTAAGGATTTTCTGCAAGCCAGCATAAGTTGAGTAAAATTTATTTTCCTTTACAGAGAATGTATGACAATGACTCTTCCTTTGTGAAATTTTTTTTAAAAAAGATTTTCCAATGGGTTTTTCTTTAGTCTTATCCAAAAGATCTTTTAAGTTTTGTTTGTTTGTTTGTTTGTTTTATAAATTCACAGCCTGCAATTCTTAGCAATTTCAGGTTAAATTTTTCAGATTTTTATGTTCATTAATGTTTAAGTATTTATTAGCATGGTACTAAATTACACTTCTGCTCCCTCCCAGAGATCGGCAAAAATTAGTTAAATCTGCTTGAACCTTTTTTTTTCTTTTAATGGACGTGTATTCAGAAAGCCAATGAATCTTTGACATAAATTGACTGAAAAATGTTAAGAGGACACTTCTTGTGAAATTTAAAACTCCTTTTGAATGATTTTTTTTTCCCACAAAGAGCCTAAGGAAACTTAGAAACCTGATTCATAAAATGGCACCTTCCTTTTTCTGCTTTTTGAAATGTTCATTTTCTTGATTACATCTGATTAATAGAATTTTTGTTTCTTCACAGAGAAGAGACAAAAATGTTTGTTTTGTAATTCATTCTAAAACATTAGGTTTTGTTTTGGGGAGTATAATATGGTTATAGTAAAACCAAATGTGTATCCCCCACTTCAGCTCATTTAAAAAATTTTCCTTTTTTATATACAATGAAAAAAATTATATACTTGTAACCTAATGCTTACAGTGTATCACTGAAATTTATAATTTTATTTATTCCATAAATATCAGCTGTGGTTATATAAACTTGTTTATATCCAGCCTGTGACATAATCTTGTAACCATATCTTTCTTGATATACAGTGTCACTTCCAGTGATGGCTTCTTTATTGAATACTTAGAGCTCAAATTTGAATTTAAAAACAGAGTAGATAGTCGGGGAATGAAAACAATGAAGGGCTTTTTTTTCTCATCCCTACATTATCACTTGAGACACAATTTGTGATACCTCAAATATTCAGTTAGCACATACTATGGCAAAGAATGTAGTTAGTGGAAGGAGTAGTGGGTTTGCAGTCATAGGCCTGGGTTTGAATCTTGCTCTTGCCACTACTATAATGTGCCTTCTGTAGGAATTTTGCGACCTACAGGAAGTCTCTTGATCTTTCTCAGCCTTAGTTTCCTTATCTGTTAAATTAGAATAATACCACCTACTTTATAGGGTTGTGAGATAATTATAAAGTACTTCCTTAGGGATTCAATTAATGATAGATACTTATTTTTAAGTTTTAGTTTAACTTCCTAGCTGTGGAACCTTGGACAAGTTTATTTTCCATACCTCAATTTCCTTGGTCATAAGTGTATATAAAATATCTACCTCATAGAAATGTGGGAATTAAATAAGTTAATACATACTAAATGCCAGGCACGTCACAAGTGTTCAGCAAATATTTCCTATTACTTTATAAGTTATTCATCGTTGTTATTACTGTGTTTTATATGCTGGGCCAGAAGCTGCAGCAAATCCAAAGATGAATTACACTGTCGTATCTCTACCGTCAAGGAACTTTTGGGGACATGATGACTAATAAGGTAGAATATATGTCATAAGAAAACAAAGGAAAGAGAGATCACATCTGGAAGAAAGGAGAATTCTTTTTATATTTCCAGTTTTATTTTTTAATAAGTAATTCAGATAGTCCATAATTCAAAACACATAAAATGTAATACAGCAAAAAGTCATGTTTGACCAGCACCCTCCAATCACCCAATTGTTAACCAGTTTCTTACTTGTCCATACAAAAGCACATATGATGTATGTACTCTTCCCCCCAACCCCCTTTTTATAGAAATGCTAGTATACTATATACACTCCTGTGTTTTGCTTTTTTCACTTAATTTGTCTTAGCAGCTGGTTTGTGTCAGTACATAAAGAGCTTCATTCTTTTAAGTATGAGGCACTTCATCGTATGCATATACCTGTATTAACCAGTTAGTGAATTAATTTTATTTTTAGATCTTATGTGACCTTTTAAAGTAAGAGAATCTGTCATTATGCCTTTATTTCTTTAAATGAAAGATTTCATTTAAATGAGAGATAACCATAACATAAATGAGGATGTTATTTGAACTGCCTCAAATACCTTTTTAGTTTCTGTTTTTAAAAAGTTTAAGTAAAATGATGGAGATGTGCATGAAGAGGGAAGCAAGCTAAGAGTTAACTCTCAAAGTGAGTTTAGTCTGAATTTGATTCGCTTGTTGAGGTTCTTATAGCCCTGTACAGACTACTGCCTCATATTATTTCATTCCAAAAAAGTCTATATAATTTTCTCTCTAAATGAGAAAGAATATCTCATGTAGTCCAGACCTGTTTTTTAAGGAGACTGTTCTCATGGGATATTATTACCCAGTAATCCTGATTAGTGTACTAGCTTTCTCCCTGACTTTTTTATATACTCATTAACTTATTTTTTGATTTTCTAATATTTCCTAGTATAATTATCAG